GCATAAATGTCCAGACTAGCCCAGGTTTTTTTTTTAAGGGATGGTCAGCATGCACGTGTGTTAAGTTTCAGTGCGCGGAAAGAGTGCAACGGGAATGGAGGAGGGTGAAAAAAAGTAGAAAGGTATGACCCCAGGGGTCAGTCGAAATGGAAAAATAGAGGGTATGGAGCCTTACCTTTTTTTCTTCTTTTTTTAAAAGCATGTATTGGTGTATATCTTTGAAATTTGCAACAAAACATCCCAAATCGTCAAAAAAGCTTAGGGTACAGAGATTTTTTTCTCTTTACTCAACTTGTTAAATCAAATTTCAGACTTACTCATTGGTTGGACATGATTCCATACAGGGTTCAAAACTGTATTTCCTGACTGACTTTAATACAGTATGGGCTTTAACGGGATTTAAAAAAGTATAAAGGAAAGGTGAACATAAAGGTATATTGGTAGTGACATTATGAGAGAAAATATATATATATGGCAGCCTCCTCATTTCTGTGATGAATTGCACAATAGGAATTAATCCATCTCCAAAATATAAATAAATAAATAAAGGAATTGTCTCAAATTTTCAGATTGGTCTCGTTTTTCTACAGGTTGGTTTTCCGTAATAAACAAAGGACAAGACGTCTTCTCCACTCCTTGGTGTTATATGAACTCTAAAGAAAAAGATCTTACCGGTGAATAATCACTGTGGCTTTAATGGCCAAGAAAAAGTGAATCCTGGAAAGTCAAATCGTCCGCCTCAGAATCGCGTCCTATATGTCGTATTGCAAAATAAAAATAGAGGGCGTTCGGAATTGACCCGCTTTCCCTTGATATTAAATTTAATTCCGTGTTTTTTTTATTGTTTTTCATATATAGAGTGGAAGGAAGAGGAGCAAGACGATAATGATGCTGAAGAAAATTGTGATAATCACGATGATGGTGAGAAAGACAGCAAAGATGTGGGATATTATGGTAGCAAGGAGGCAAGAATATTGAGTGAGTACATTTATGATAATGATAAAAACAACTATAATGAAAAAGAATGATGATCATTATTATTATTATCATTATCATTATTACCATTATTATTATCATTATCCTTATTATTTTTTACTATTGTCAACTATTGGTGTTATCATAACTATTGTTATTATCATTATCATTATTTATTTTATTTTATTATTATTACTAACATTATTGTTATTATTACTTTTATGATGATGATGATTATTGTTATTATCATTATTATTACTATTCCTACTACTACTATTATCATTATTATTGTTATCATTATTATTACTATTGTCTTTACTATTATTATTGTTATAATTACTATCATTTATTATATTATCATTCATTATCATTATTATACAATTATTATATTATTATTGTTATTATTCATTACTATCATCATTATTATTGTCATTATTATTATCATTATTATCATCAGTAACATTATTGTTATTATCATTGTTACTGCTATCATTATTATTATTATTATTATTATTATTATTCATTCTATTTTGTTATTATTACCTATTGTTATAATCATTATTATTATTATCTTTATTGTGTTTTGTTATATTATATTATATTCTATTATTATTATTATATTATTATTTATTATTATTATTATTATTATTATTATTATTATTATTTATTATTATTTTTTGTGTTGTTGTTGTTATTTTTATTATTATTATCATGGTTATTATCATTATTGCTATTGTCATTATCATTATCGCTGTTATTATGATCATCACTATTATTGCTATGATATCACATTATGATTGTTATCATTTATTACCCATCCTCATTACTATTTATTCAATTACTATTTACTACTTTTATTATAGTCATTAGTAAAGTTTAATTGACATTATCATTATGTTTATTGATTGCTTTTATCAGTAGTACTATCATTATCATTACTATTATCATCATTACTATCTTATATTCATCATTGGTAGTATCATCTTTATTTCTGTATTATCTTGTTCTATTATCATCATTATCATTGTCATTATCATTATTATCATTGTCATTATCATATTATTCATTGTATTTCATTATCAACCATTTATTGTATTTCATGATGTTAATTCAATTCTATATTTTACATTATATATATTATTGTTAATTAGTGTTAATGATGATAATTTTATTGCCTATTGGGGTTGTTTTTGGACTAATCATTATTTTCATTGTATTTCATTATTACTATATTTGATATTACCATTTATATTATCCTTATGATCAATATTTTAATTATTTTATTATATTGCCATATGATTCATCATATCGCTATTATTATCATTATTATTATTTTATCATTATGATTATCATCATTTTTCATCATGGTTATTCTTATTTATTGTTACTATCATTATCATTATTTCAATATCATTATCATAATTATTTTCTTGTTATTGTATATCACTGTAATTATCATCATTAACACAACTATAATCAAGGATCCTATTCATTATCATTATATCATATTTTTGTTTTATTTATTGTTATTTTTATTATCACTTTTGCCATCAGTATTTGTTATTAATTCTTTATACATCTATTCCATTATTATATTAATTTGTTTATCATCATTATCATTATTACTAATATCATTTTCATTACCATTATCAGTATTTTCTTTATCCTTATCATTAAATTATTAATATCATCATTACTATCACCATCATCATCATCTTCATCATTTTGTTAGGAATATTATCAATATCATTATCAGTATCATTATCATCATTATTCCTACTATTACTACTACTACTTGTGTAATTATCAATATACATCACTAATGTATATACATTATTGTTCTTTTGTTATTGTCGTCATCGTTATCATTATTTTCATTGAAATTATCTTTATTGCTGTTAATGTTATCACCATTACTACATTTGTTATTGTTATTAGTATCATTATCATCATCATTATCATTTTCACTATCATCATTAACATTGACGTTATCATCTTCATCATCATCATCATCATTTTTTGTTATGAACATTAATAATATAACTTTAATGATCATAATTATAATCATAACAATAATGTTTTATATCATTGTACTACTACGGATACTACAATTACATTTACTTCATTATTACAATAATTAATAATTATTTTCGTCGCCTAACCTTCTTTGCATATAATGTTAATTGCGGTTCTTTGATACATGAAAAAAAAACGGAAAAGAACGAAACGAAAAACAGGAATTGAAGAAAAAAGTGAAAAAAAAAAGAATCGGAGGAAACATGAAAAGAAAACGGGAAACAAAAGATAATAAAGGAATGAAAATGAAATCAAAATAAGAATATAAATAAGAAAAATTAAAATTAGATGCAAAAAAGGAGAGAAAACTTACTCGAATTACAGAGAGAAGACATAAAGGAGAAACAAATGCAATAGTAAATAATAATAATAATAATAATAATAACAAAAATAATAAAGATAAAATAAAAATGGAAATAAACGGGTTAAGTGGAATCGACAAATATTAACTTCGGTTTTGCGTGAGAATGACAAAAAAATACACTTCTGTAAACATTGTATTCTCTAAATACGTTTCCTATGAAACATCCTTTACTTTATACCATTAATCTAATTAGATGGTTTATTACATATTTTAAAACAACTAAATGGGAGCGTTATTTCAGCCTGACTTCTAAATGTTACATAGTTTAACCTATTCTTAACAGATTTCGAAAGAGAGGAGACACTAAAATGAAAAGAAACGTTGATTTATGCTATCTTGAGGAGCAGCATCTAGGAGACGAACCAGTAAAGCTATCTGGTTGGAGTTCTTGGAAAAAGAACAGTGGTAACATTAACTTCCATTTCTAGGTTAGATCTCAGTCGTGGGCTTCAGTGATTTATCCATTTCATTCGCTCTACTTTTTTCTTTCTTTGTTTCGCTCTCTCTTTTTTCGCTCTCTCTTTTTTCTCTCTTTTTCTCTTTCTCTCTCTTTCTCTTCTCTCTCTCTCTCTCTCTCTCTCTCTCTCTCTCTCTCTCTTCTTCTCTCTCTCTCTCTCTTCTCTCTCTCTTCTCTCTCTCTCTCTCTCTACACATACACCACACACACACACACACACACACACAAACACACACCACACACACACACACAACACACACACACACACACAACACACAACACACAACACACACACACACATATTATACATCATTATATTATATATATATATTATATATAATACATTATATATATTAATATATATATGTTTATTATACATATATATATATATAATNCCCTACACCAAAAACATACATAACAGACAGCACAGACCTATACTTTCGTGTTTCTGTGATACTACGCATCACTGGCCGATATTTACAAATAAGTATAACGTATAGTTCCCATGTATACTCACGGAGTGGGGGTTAATATACTAGTATATATAGTACTAGTACATCCTATCTATCGTGTGTGTGTGTGTGTGTGTGTGATGTGTGTGGTGTGTGTGTGTGTGTGTGTGTGTGTGTGTGTGCTGTGTGATTGTACATTATTACTATATATCTTGTAACTATGTATATGTGCAGTATATATATACCTAACTTATATCATATATAATATAATTACTATGTACACTATATACCTAATAATAAAAATATATAATATTATACCTGCTTATACTATACTATTATATTTGTAAATATGGCATACATTCAACACAACACTATATGTATACATAAATATATTAGACCTTATACGTACCTAATAATTGTATAATAATATATATAATATTATATAGCTATAGTATACCTATATTAGCATAATGCATACATACATATCATATAATATACTATAATCATATATAACTTATTTTTATATATATATAATTATATATATCTATTATATATGTCATAGATTATGTATATTATTACATTAATGATTGTATATATAATATTTTTATATCATATATATATATTACTATACCTATTTATATACTATACACTACTATCAGTATACACATCACATATA